TTACAATCCCTTAGGTCTGGCTTAACAATACAGATGTACACGTGTTACCGACAATCAAAATCGTAATAATAATAATAATAATAATAATAATTATTATTATTATTATTATTATTATTGATTTTATGTGAAAATTCCAATATTTCATATCTTTTCTTCCATATTCAGGCACTTGAAATTCCGTGTTTGTTGTAACCTTAAATTAATATTCAAATATTTCCCAACTTAAGTTGCTGATATTCCAGCTCCAGCACACCACCACAGTCGATAAGTTCGTGGAATGGCCGCAAAGCGTCGTACGGGAATTTCTTGCCAATATGTTTCAGCAATGTTTTCGACAGCTATATCAGCGTTGGCAGACTTGCATAGCGGCCAACGGCAACTATTCTGAGGGACGAAGTGGATCTGCGTAAGTGTATGTGAATACCTTGTAATATGATGCGATAAAACCACAGTCCACGAACTTAATGACTCTACCACGTATAAGTTGCGTGCAGACTTCTTTAAGCTCCGTTGCTTCTGTAAAAGAGTTCCTGTTACAGAACATTACAATACTACACTTAAATAACGCACGTTTGTAACTCAACATGAATTTCATATTCCTGGCTCCAATGGTTCGTAATTTTTCGCTATTATCGTGAGAGGTAAGTTAAAATGCTGGAATTGTCGACATCTTACTACTTTACATTGTAAAAATTGCCTCAGGAAAGTCTCGCACTATTTTCGAAGGCATAGCCTATTAACACGGGTTATGACTAATCCAGTCTACAAAACCGAATTAACGGCCGTCGGGATTCGTTGCGCTCACCACGCGACACCCTCTAACCGCAGAAGTTGGCACTAACTCCGCCGACAAGCGGCGATCGCTCGGTCGATATACTTCGCTTGCGGACTAAAGCCACGGAGTTCAGTTAATTCTATGACAACATTACGGAAACCTAGTATCCCCTCCATTCCATACCTTGTACATCTGCTACGTTGCCATTACCGTAATCCTGGATCGCTTTGGCAGCATGGCCGGCTCTGTGACACATGTCCGTTTAATTTCATTACAACATGCCTCAACAATTTGCAAATCTGACACAGTCACCCACCCACGCTGTCACAAATTGACCCCGGTTTACAGTACTGATTGTGGAAAATTACGGAGGGTGGGTGGCCTTCATTTACATAAAAAACAAACCCCGTGATTTTAGTCCGCAAGCGAACTATACCGACCGAGAGACCGCTGCTTATCGGCGAAGTTAGTGCAAAATTTTGCTGATAGAGGGTGTGCTGTGGTCAGGGAAACGAATCCCCACGGCCGTTAATTTTGGTTTTCTAGACCGGAGCCCCTCAATTATCCTCACGAGGCTGAGTGGACGCCGTTCCAGACCCACTATGTTTCAGATAATCTTTTAGCGCTGGGAATCGAACCAGGAATTCTGACCACTAAACCACAGGGGCGGTCCTACAATTACACAATGTTCATTTAAAAGGTATTGAAAATCGATTGATCGAAAAATTATAAAGTGACACTGAAACAATATGGAGCTGTCAGAATCCTACTCAGCTTCTTTACAGAAAGGTATGCTAACACAGTCCGCTTATCACAGTACATGAAGGCCACATATACATATAAAGCGAGGTTGATTTATGCTAAAGGAAGCTGTCTTCTCAGATGGGAATTGGTGAGGTTCACACAATTACATCTCTCACCGTTGCCTATAAAGAAGGTAGACATTTATATAAGCCCGGACTATTAATTTAACGTTTATAGTTCCACTTTTTATTGTATCTCACATCAAATATAAAAGCATACACACGCTTACTCGTACAAGATCTCATAGCATTATCTGTTCTACTGTTTCCTTCGCAGATATATCAATGTCTTGCCAACTGGAAACTTGTATATTATGGCTGAAAACTGCGGAAGTTTAGCCTGACAGAGAAATGAACAATGTACGGTAGTTTGAAATTGGTGTCGGTTGGAACTTATTATCAGGTCAGACACACAACGTGAAGGCTACGACCAAACGCTCACATGCTCGTGTAACTTCAGCTTTCGGGTTTCAACCCGAGATGGGCGGCATAAACGTCAAGATAGAATCATAAACTTGGTAACTGGTGTTCCTGGTTCGTTTGGACACTTCGAATAACCGGAGACTGGTTGAATATTGCGGTAATTAAAGATGCTGCTTCCATTTCACACACTGTAGTCTCTCTATTGTATACCGCCTATGTGGTCTATTCCTGGCTACAGATCCAGAGGTCCCGGGTTCGATTCCCGGCGCTACCAAATTTTCTGAGAAGTAGTGGGTCTGGAACGGGATCCACTTAGCCTCGTGATGATAACTGAGGAGCTATTTCAACGAAATAACGGCTCCGTTCTAGAAACGAGATTAACGGCCGTGGGGATCCGTTACGCTGACCATGTTACACCATCTATCGACCAAAGTTGGCACTAACTTCCTCGATAAGCGGCTGGCGGTTGCTCGGTCGGTATAGTTCGCTTACGGAATCAAGCCACGGAGTTTGTCTTTTGTTTGATAGTCTTCTTTTTTTCTTTCCATTGAATGCACGATGACGCCTCGCAACAAGATGTCCACAAAGAACTCAAAAATCAACCAACAGTTTCTTGTGTGAAAGGGCTCTGTATCATCGACGTGACTAATGTCCATTATCTCAGTGTCAATTTCCGTCACTTCTGTTTGAATATATCCGTTTTAGAGAAACATGCCAGCTCGGAAAGCTACTGTATACAGCCTAGGGCTGGATCTGCGGGAGGGCATAACGTCCGGACTGTCTCTAGGGGCTAAAAAACAACGGGTAAAATCTGGGACAGAGAGGCAGAGGGGTGAAGCAAACCGCTCACCTCCATTTTGAGGACTAGGGTAGGACTGCATGGGAGGAAAAATACATCCGGTGCCAGGATAGCAACTGGCTACGGGCTGGACGACCTAGGGGCCGGAGTTCGAGTTCGGTAGGGTAACGAATTTTGTCTTCTCCACGTCATCCAGACCGGCTCTGGGGTCCACCCACCTCCTATCCAATGGGTACCGGAGGTTCTTTCCCCGGGGGTAATGCGGCAGGGGTGTCAAGCTGACCACTCATCTCCAGTTAGTCCGGAGGGTAAAAAATGTGGATTTATATATCCACTCCCCATACGTCTTCATGGCCTAGTGATTAATTAGTTAAGCACAGGGACAACTTTACCTTTTCATCATGTTTACACTTTCACAGTAGCTCCTTGGGAGCTTCACGTCTACTTAATGACCCGAAGCAACTTTTCCAGAAATTCGTGGCTGCTCTACTGCTTCAAAATCGTCTCCCACAGCCAAACTGTTTCAATGGCATAGGGCCATCCCGTGGGAAAAGACAGACCTGGGATAAGGATGAACAACAGTCATGAAAATGTACATGAAACAGCCAAAAGAGACCCACAGGGGGGTCAAACCGGCGATAGAGAGGGTCGAGGCTGCAGGAACCACTATTGTAAAGTAAGCCCTCCGCGGCCATATTACAGCATATTCTCAGTTTCCGGTGAAAAATAAAAATTTGAAAATAACTACAATGTCCACATCCGTTCCTCTTTTCTCGTATAAATACGACAAAGCGTTTGATGTCAGCAATCGGTGACAGCGTGAGAATGCTGAACATTATGAAAACAAGACATGACATATTCGACTTACGTGAGGCTACCCCAAAGGTTTTGTAACAGGATCTTAAACCAGCAATCCCATTTTGTGCATGGTCCTGGCAAAGTTCGAACAGTCAGAGGATCACTTATTTAATATAACAAACGACGAATATCCATCCCACTTAGGAATGGAACATATTTTGGACAAAGGGTAAAGCTATCCCTGTAACAGACCGTGAAGGCCCATAGGGTTGAGAGACGTCGAGGCACCCACATTTTCTATACACAATCGGCTCACAGATGGCGGTGAGGTTGTCAGCCTTACGCGCTGGCTCCGATTTACCTCCCAGGAAGATCCCTGCTACTCATTTCTCTTAGAGGTTGAGTCGACCCCAGAACAATAGTGCGGCTAGAAGGATTAGGTCAATTGAAAAAAATCCACCTCATCGGGACTCGAACCCGTGACCTTCTGGTCTGCAGCATAATGCCTCGACCAACTACGCTACCCCGTGCCCCCAACATATTTTGGATTGGCAGTAAGAAGTTATTTGACCGAGAACATTTATGGAAGACGCTGAAACAATCCTTACATGGCACGGCGAACTTCAAAAGACTGCAGGCAACTCGTCTGATGTGACGCATGATATAAACTGTACTTACGCAACAATCATACTTGTGACTGACAGTGAAAGAGTTGCGTTATCCCAAAAATGTAGGGGGGGGGGAGATGCTAAGCCATTAACCTTCGTTTGAACATGGCTCCGAGGAGTAAGAAATATTTCAACTCCACTAACATAATGGCCAAGTATGTACAAATGTTTTTCATTGTTCTGTTTTGAACACCTCTTTGCTCAGTCTTATACTTGCAACATTGTGTTGTAAGCATGTGGTGATATTAGTAATTCCCCCCACTCCCGACTCCTTGACAGCCAGCAAATGTTGTGACAAGACGACACCAAATGTTCCCACCATGACGTCATCACGGACCTGTTCCCTCTCCAGATGCAGAGCAGTGTGCCACACCGTGAAAGCGATGCGATGGAGGATGGCCTCATCCAAACAGATCGGCAGTGTCTCGTTGTTATTGCTGTTCTTTACATTGTTATTGTTGCAGCAGCTACTGCTTCCACCGCAACAATGTGTCCTGTTGCTTCCATATGTCATATATCCCATGTGGTTACTCCTCGACGCCATTTGTGTATCAACTGCTTTTATTCACTTCATGAAAACGCGGTAACCACTCAGACACAATACAGATTTTATCTTTAAGACGTACTGTATTAATCCTGTAACTTTTTAGAATAAAACACTGGATAATATTTTCGAAAATGTATAAGTACACGAAAAGTCACAACAAATAACCGGTAAAAACTACATTCTACGACCAGATGACGTAACCTTTCGTCGTCCGAGATATGTTTGTATTCTTTAACATTGTTTCAAAATATGGCGGCTAGAACATCATAAAGTGTAACACTTGAGTACTATATTCACTGTTAATTAATGTTCGTTCTTCATATATATTTGGTTCCTTAATAAAAATTCAAAAGAACTAAACAAACACTGTCTTGGTTTCTGTATTGGGACTACATTCAGTTATATGTTTATTACACATTTGTATAGAACACCACTCGGCACCTACAGGCGACATTTTGCATCAAAAGTAATTAATGCGTATGTTCAGGGCAAAGACTGGGCCGAATAATGTAGATAGACTTGAAAGGATTCTGACGATGGTGTATACTGTACTTCTTTTGGCTTATTTTGGACTTCACCTATCGTCCGGTATATAAAAGACAAAAAACCACGACGTTTCGGAGACTGGATCTGTCTCCGTCTTCAGGTGGATAGGGAAGGGTAAACCTTGAGCTAGTCTCAATCACTAGACCAGTGATTGAGACTAGCTCTTTCTAAGAGGCCCAACTGAGTAGGTTTACCCTTCCCTACCCACCTGAAGACGGAGACAGATCCAGTCTCCGAAACGTCGTGGTTTTTTGTCTTTTATATACCGGACGATGGGTGAAGTCCAAAATAAGCCAAAAGAAGTACGAATAATGTTGTATAAACGGACAAAACGATGGCTTCTCGAGAAATGAACCCACCCGTCGGTATCGAAATAGAACTGAAATTCATTCTCAAGGAAGTGCCCACGGTTAGTAGTAAATTTCATGCGAGACCTGATGCATGACATCTATAAGCTGTTTCCTGCAGTAAAAGAAGATAATGGTGACCAATCTCATCCACGGCAGCATTGGCTATCGTACATATTGGCAATACTGGACAGTAAATTTAACAAATGTTTGGATGTTCCGGAGAGTGACAGTACATGGACACGAAAATTATAGGCTACACATATATTAAGATGATGATAATTCCTGAGTCGTGATACACACAAATATGGTCATGAGTCAAACAGCGGCTGTGCTGGCGAAGACCAGTACCGATTTACCCGAAACCCGGAACCAAAATATTTAATTTATTTATGTCTTTTAATCTCAGACGAAATGTCCCTTTTATAAGACTTCGTAGGACATTGTGCTACTTCCAAATAACACGAGAGACTGTACGAATAATTTTAAATTACTGGACCAATATACGGTGAAATTATTAAACAGCTTCAAATACGATAATCCGAACCCGATAAATAAGCAGCCAAAATTGTGCGTTGCACATATGGACATTCTTCACAAGAAGAGTAACTGTACAGCACTGGCCGCGCCATAGCGGTTAGTCGCTGGCTTCCCATGGCGGCGGCCCGGCTTCAATCCCGGATCTGGTCAAGTGGTATTTGTGGTGGACAAAGTGGCGCTAAGGCAGGTTTTCTCTTAGTACTTCGGTTTCCCCTGCCAATCTTCATTCCACCAACTGCTCCACAATCACCCTCACCTATCATCTGTGTCTGGTACAATAGGTTAGAAGTGGCACATTACAAGGGACTTAGTCCTACCCCACTAGCAATAAAAAAAACTGTACGGCAGGTTATGTGGAGGGTGGGGGAGGGGGTTATATAGAGTAAATTTCAAAATGGGCCCATACGAGAGGAAGAGCCGCATAATCCGAATATTTTAATGATTTCGCTGTTAATATGAGAGTAATTAGACGAAAGTCAATTACTACCGACTGCATTTATACAAATTAATAACCCCCAACCGATCACAGTGGCCGCGCACGCGGTCTAAGGCATAAACCGTCTCCGTATGCTCGAGCACTGGGATCGTGGGTTCCAATCCCACTCGAGGCGTGGATGTCTGTATGTTAATTTATTGTGTTTGTGTTGTTCTGTCTGTAGGTAGCGGTCTTGCGACGGGCCTACCGACTGTGTATGGAATTAAGAAACTTAAAAAGCGGCCAAGGCTCAAAGGGCTGTAGAGCCATAGAGAGAATAGACTGCACTCTCTTGTAACAATACATCGATGTGCTATATGCACCAGTATTGTTCTTCGGGTACTTCTCATTTTCTGACTGAACTTCATGAGTTGGCTATAGTGCTGTTTCCAGGCGTCTGGTTCTTGTTATGACGACATATGCTTGCTTATACATGAACGCATATAACTTGATCCTTTGTCATGACCGTGCCACAGCGCAGGACATCAGCGCCTGCTTCTCACCGCGACGACCCCACATCGAGCCCAGGACACGTTATGTGCGATTTGCGGTGGACAAAGCGGTACTGCGGCAACTTCTTCCCGAGTACTTCGCGACTTCCTGTCAATTCTCATCCACCCAGCTGCTCTATATTCATTATTAGTCCTCCTGCCACCGATACTCTCAGCGTCGTTAAATTACCAATGTTAGAGAAAATGTGTTCTCTCGTTATGCATATTAATTTTTTTTTTACTTCGCTTAGTGGGGGGGGGGGAGTCCAACTGGGTTCACTCTGCACGGCTGCCACTGATTGGCCTATTGTAGCTTGCCCCGGGGTGATTATGATGATAAGAGAATTTGGTGGAATGAAGATTGGCAGGGGAAACCTCGATGTCTCACAACCCTATGGGCCTCTATGCCTTGTTACAGGGATACCTTTACGTTTTTCACCTTTCGCCGTTTACGAAGCAGTCAACAATTAAGTCTACACCAGGGAAAAAAGTAACAGGCTTTACACTTTCGTGCATTGTAACATCTGCAAGTTTCATTCGTGTTAATAACGGGACGTCATAATGTAACTTCTCAGAATTCCATTTGTAAACGATATTAGCCTTGCGACGAGCTGATCACCCGCCCAAGGAGTCTTACTGTACGACTAAGATCTAGAAAAACCAAAGTGAACGGAGAAGTTCATGGAGGTAGGCCTAGACCCGTAGTGCCAAGGAAAAAACAACAATCAGTCCAGTATACAGGTAGGAAAAATTAGCACGAACGTGCTACCACTGTCTTCAATACGAAAACCTGAAGATAGAGGCAGCGAATACCTCCGAAACTTTGGTACCTACCTATCAATATTACATGGTGTCACATCCCCAAAGACCGTAACTTTCATTTCAGTTATTTCAGGTATATTTATTTGGATCAAACAAAATTCAACTCAGAAGTTTGATAACGTTAAGTGTGTATTAGACAAAGTGAGAACAGAACAACGGAAATACTGAGATGCCAGAGTACGGAGACATAGACATGGAAAAACTACAAAAAAAAAAAAAACAGAGATGTCGTTGAATGTTATCAGCCTGGAAATGACGAAGTCTGGTTTACATCTTAACCTCAGAATAAACACGTCTTCGAAACCGGTAAAGGAAGTAAAGGACATCATGTGTAAACAGCTTCTGGCTCTTTATCTAACGAAAGTTATCAACTGAACTGGTGTGAGCTGTCATGAGTGGATACATCTAACACCTTGCGTCTTCGCTTATGTAACCATATTTTGTCGACTACATCTGTTATAAATACAGAGTTATGGATGATGGAGTTAATATTCTGATCGAGTAACTCTTGAGTCAAATGAAGAAGCAATCTAATAAAGAAATAATTCCGGAAAGTGATTCAGTCAGAATGTGGGAGGATGAAGACGCCGCCTGTTTCGTAACATTCCGCCACCCGCTTCGCGGCAGTTACGACTATGTTCCGTGAGGATACCAGATTGCTCTGTCGGGATTCAAACCGGGTAATACCTTGGTACTACAGCCCCTGTGGGCCTAGGCCTACCTCCATGAACTTCTCTGTTCACTTCGGTTTTTCTACATCTTACACATTCGGTAGGGCTCCTTGGGCGGGTGATCAGCTCGTCGCAAGGCCTCTACCTGTACACAAACACAGAAAAACGCACAAACTAAACATCCATGCCTTGAGTGGGATTCGAACCCACGATCCCGGTTTCCAAGTGAGCGAAGACAGTACATGCCTTAGACCGCTCGGCTACCGTGACCGGCCGGGTAATACCTATAACTGATAATTTCTACGGTTGTACTAACGTGCTTAGTAATTGGTATATCAAAATGATTAAAATGTAATTTATATATATCAATTGTCTACTCCATGCAGAAACTGGCAACTTTCACCCGACACAGAAGAATTCTAAGCTGTTGGGAGGATTACAAATATGGATCGAACAGAAACATGTCATGTGACTGAGAAGTAATTTGGGAACGTGACCAAAGGCTGGCTTTAGTCTGTACGATGCTCAACGTTTAGATTCCAATACCAGAGAGACGTTTAGTATTACTTAATTCTGTATTTCGGCATCCTGTTGCAATTGTTGAACTTAACGTCCATGTATTTATGGTCCGTCAATATTGCAACATTTGTTTATTCACTACTTAATTTTAATTTTAGTTTAACATTTTACACTTTAACACTACAGGTTTCGGCCCCAAACGGCCATCTTCAGGTGTCTTGATATGTTACAAATATTTTATCAAATTATGTTAAAATTGTTACACTGTCTTAGTCCGTGATTTTAACATTCGACATTATGCAACAAGAAAAAAAAAACAAATTCAGGACAAAATCGGGCCTAGAACAAACTTTCAAACTTCAGAATGAAGGAAAACGATGTAGCATCGAAGAGATATACAACGTATTAAGATGAAAGTGCACTGCGGGGGCCCGGGTTCGGTCAACTGGGATTTGCGGTGGACAAAGTGACGCTGGGGCATGTTTTCTCCGAGTACTTCGATTTCCCCGGACATTCCACCAAATGCTCCACAATCACCCTCACCTATCATCTGGGGCTGGTACAATAGGCCAGAAGTGGCCGCAGTACAAGGGACTTAGTCCACCCTACTAGCAATAAAAAAAAAGAAGTGCCATGAAGTCTCTGTCGAATAGGTTACCACCCGTCCTTCGCATCCAGGAGGTCATGAGATCAACCATCGGCATGGAAACCAGCTATCCTGTGGGTTTTCTAGTTTTCCCCCCAAAACACGGCGATATTACGTCACATTAAATATCCTTTCAAGCTGACTGTTACATAATCTGAGATACTGCGATAATTGTTAATAAGCCATAGCAAGATAAATAGGGTAAGGGTGAGAGTGAAGATCTTCATAACGCTACCGACCCTACACTCAGGATCAGCCATTCAGAGTAAGGGCTAGTACCAGAAACTTCTGTGCAGCTTTCTTGGAGAAGTATTCAAAAATAGATTTTCCTTCGCTTGAGAAAGTCGAAGATAACGCTAAATGTTGGATGTTCTTTTACTGTTT